TTTAGTTTTTCATATTACCCCAACATTTCGCTTTCCGATACTGAAAACCGCACCTTTTTAGCTGCTTCTTAGAAAAAGTTATCAAAGAAATGGCCGTGCTTCTTCTTTTTTGAAATGGATAGTAGATACTCTTAGTCGGTCTCTGATCCAAAGCCGTCCTTTTAGTTTAAAACCACTGCAGAAGCCACTTATCAATACCTACAGTTTTAAACCTGAAATCATTTGTCACACAAGGGAAAGTTTATCTGAAAATGCTGAAGAAAAACGTTTAATAAAATGTTTATTTCGTGCACAATCTCACTCTCTGTCACTCATTTAGCTAGTTTTCCTACCTTCTCTTAAAACCGATCGTCCTAGCTGAATGGCATCAAATCTCGCATCGCCAATGACATTTGAAGTTGTTTCTGGCTATTTCCAACATCAACAATTCTTGGACTGAATGCACTTGCACCAAATTTATTATAGTCGAATAGCGGATCTCTGAATTGACCAAATTCAGGGAATTCATGATCATCACTGGCAGATTCTGACATGCGCCGTTCGACCTCTGGATTACGCACAGGAACTTCAACAACCAGCATATTATTTGGTGCAACGTAGGATACAATATTACTGATATCTATTGAAGAATCAAAAATTTGTCATCAAGAACCCATCTGGTCGATGTATGAAATTCGTCTCTACACTTGTCTTGGTATTCGTTAGTGCTTCTCATGGAATAATTTTTGGGTGAGTCAATTGGCACTCCCAGCAACTGTTTGCGAGTACCAACAAGAAACGATTGGCACTTCCTAGAAGTGGCAATAAAGTGCTATTGGTACTTCCAGCGATTGCTTAGAAGTGGCACTCAGAAGCTATTGGCACTACCATACAAAAAACTTTGCCGGGTCTGGCAACAAGAACGTCGTCTGATATATGAGCGGCCCGACGTTTCAACGTTCTTCAATCTATACTTTGACTCGCAAGATTCAGATTGTATATTCGTGTCGTCACGGGTATCCCGCTCATTGGGAACGGGAGGAACAGGTGGATAGTGAGAGTAAGTGAAAAAGCTAAAAATCTAATAGATGAAAATTGATATTGATATCCCTTGGGAGTATCAATAAAGAGGCCATCCAATATTTAAACAACCTGATCTGCAGAGATCCCTTATCTCTATGCTAAACTTCTTTGAACTCATCTGCTTGTTGCAACTATGACTGGATTCAGTGTTCAACATGGCACTGAATACTGGAAATTTCCCTCGTGCTTGTTATACCAAGTTTCAGCTTTTCACTCACTCTTACTATCCACCTGCCCTCCTTCATGCTTGATGAGCGGGATGCCTGTCGAAATAAGAATATACAATCAGAATCTCGCGAGTTACAGTATAGTTCGAGGAACGTTCAAACGTCGGGCCGTTCACATATCAGATGGCGTCCTAATTCACACTCCCAACAAAGTTTTTACATGAGAGTGCCAATAGCTATTTCGAAAATTTTTTCGTGTTTCCCAGTAGGTTTTAGCCTAGAAACTGCCGTTTCCCTATGAATATGATGCATAAAAAGTTTCATAAAGTAAACCAAGCCTTTAATAAATGAGATATTCTAACTAAAATATTTACCAGCATGTTCAGGTAAATCATAGCTTTTTCTTAATTCACGAACATGATAATCATCACCATCACGATCCTCTTGTTTTGCTTGCACAATTATTTTACTACCGTCAACTTTTGTTTGTATTGTCTCAGGACTAAATCCAGCTACATTCAGCTGCACACGAAACTTCTCTGACTGTACAGGAGATGACATAACTGATGCCGGTTGTGCATTTTGTTGAAATGATGATTGTTGCCGTCTTGGTTCATTAATCCAACGAAATGATGATGGCATTGTTAATGATGGGAAACGATCAAAATCACGACAAGGATCAAATAAATCTAAGTTGCGGCCAAAAAAATCGTCGTACGGATCATTAAATCGACGAAATCGACGATCTATTGGAAAGTTTGACATTGAAGTGTGCAAAACTTAAGAAAATTTATATATTCGTTGAGGAGATGAACCAGAATAATTGATAAGTTGTGTATATATACTGTATTGAATTATGCACTCAACGTAGAAAAGAAAATTCTAGTGTTTCGTTTGTTTTACTACATGGAGCATTGAGGGTCTAATTCAAATATAAGAAAGGCAGTTTATTCTTAACTTACATTGTCTAGTGATCATTCAACTAGAATTAATTCTATTTGTATAGAAGAGGGAGTCAGATATAGGACCCGTATGACCAGATACTTAAGAATAAGAGTAATGAAATTCGAGTTCAACAAAATTATTATAATTGCAGCCGTTTTCAGAACGTCCACAATCATAATAACTTCCTTGATGACTTTAATGATGATTTTGACTATAAACTAGGTGATTACCAAAGAACGATGAGGTTCAGTTTTAGGCAGAAAGTGGAAACATTAGTTTTTCAGATGATGACATCCTAGGTAGATGTCTTCGTATGAAAAAATCAGGGAATATTTGAACAGGATACAAAAAGTGGAGAAAGAGAGAAAAAGAGAGATAAAAAGAAAGATAGAGAAGCATAACAACTTGACGTTAGTCATCGTGGGAAAGAGTTCCTTTTTCTCTCTCTTTTTTGTAGTAACGTCAACTAAATGAAGCAAATGCTATTAAGACACCTGCATGATGTTAGCTTTTTCTTACCGCATTTGTTTTGGACTGTAGATACAAAAGTAAATACGGAAAAAAACGATTAATAGGGCTAAAAAAGAGTATGGGGAGATGCGTAATTGGAATCTAACAATTATTCATACTTTACCGCAAAATCTTTTAATTGAGTTTAGTAATGGATATATCCTCAGAAAACAGATAAATAGTGGTTTTTCTGTTATATGTTACTATTACACAAGAGCTTTCTTATAAAATTACCCGAACAATCGTCCGTCATACCTGACACCGACTCTGTTTGCGCATATTAAATTTGTTCACTATTGAAGTGCTTTATATTGCTTTATAAGTGCTTGAAATTTGCATACCATCACAAAAAAAGTATTCAGGCTAGTCTTAGTAGATTAATGGTAAAACTTCGACAAAGCAATTTTTTTAAATCAGCCACAGTTTCTAATCACAAAAACTAAATTCTCGCAAACCGATAGTTTGTGTCCATTATATTATCGACCGTCTACCATTGTTTATAAGCTGATGCTGGGTGAAACTTAAGGACCTCTAAATAAAATAGAAAAATCAAAACCAAATGTGTATCGATTCTCGACACGACTGTTTTACACCTTGGACTAAATGCGCATTAGTGTCTATAGGCAGTACTATCAATATTTTTAACACCACAGTGATGAAATGGCCCGGTAGATTATAATTCTTCTTTAAAGCCAAAACGATATGAAAGCTTTTTAGAACGTTGTCATTTTATTCAATCAGGAAATGGAAACGTGATCTCGAAAAAAAAAATATTTTTTCAAAATTTTGTAGTACCTGCAATTTCCATTGGTTTGAAAACAGTAGTACATTCTTTTTCATTTCGCTACTTAAAAACTAATTATGAGGCGATAACATAGTTCAGCAGGATCATGGGTGAACGAACATTAGACAAATTATAAGATGTGGGAAATTCAAAATTCAACCGCTTTTATTTGTTCCATTTATATACATGATTAGATAGAGCTCGTCGAGCTGGTTCCGAATATCTGTATTTCGGTGTTCCAACCACCCGTTCACTATCCAGCTTTTCGAATTTCGATCATCAACAAGTTTTTGGAAGTTTTGGATGGCCAATCGAATAATGTATAAATCATTAGAGATCATCTTTAGTTTCATAGAAAAATGTGATCAAGAGTTCTCTTAACGTATCCGCGATTTAGTGGAAAAGCCTGGTATGAAGCTCATAAAATCTGTAACAGTAGGTTTCATCGGACCATGAATAATTAGTTATGTAGTTTTGAAGTTTATTTAGAGAGTAAGTTTCCATGACTTAGAGAGTCCGAATTGAATGCCGTCTTTACAGAGAAAAAAGGATCACAAGTGATGCATTTTTTCTAGAGATTGGTTTGAAGAAGCGGAATTTATGCGATTGAGTAAGCTGTCGTCGAACTTCATTCTTTTTCTGTAGTCATGATACATTTTGAGAAGTAAATACGGTCTACTGGTAGTAAAGCAAAGTCTGGTCAATTGACAATGTTGAATTATTTACACATACTTTTTCAAATTTGGAATCATTTACGATTTATAATGTTCCCACTGTTAACGAATTTTATTCTATCATGCCAATCATTCTTAAAAAGTTCTCAAAATTAACAACACTATCGGTATCCTTGAAATCATCTTTTTTACCATCAAAAGCATTTATGGCAAATTGGCTAAAAGAGAACACATTTAAATTAAACTTTTATTTGAAATATACATCCCTTGGTGATATTGTTCATCTATGGCTGTAAAGCTAATTAAGGTGAGCGACTGTTATCAACACACGTTTGTGAATTTTTCTTCGCTGAAATGGCCACATGCTGAACTGGTGATTTAACTTGCAGATAATTCAAAGTTCGTAATAGGCGTAGCAAGTTGAGACTTTGCCATCACAGATCGCTTTTATTGCTATTATTACGTGATGGTAATAAAGAATGTTCTTGTTTTTTTTATAGGCATCATACAAGTGTTAGGCTAGAAAAAAATCGAAAATAAGAAGAAAATTGTTTTTGTTTACGATTTGTCTTTCGTGTTTGTTCCATTTCTTAAATATTGAAAAGTTCCGCTGGTTTACTACTGGTCATCTCGTCATTGATTTATTATGCGATATTTAAGCATCGTCGATTCATCACTCCCACTACTTTCTTGAGATTTTCTACTTTGCACCTGATTATTTTTCATTTTCAGAGTCTTTAATGAATAAATAAATAATAGAGTAAGTGTACACAGAACAAATCATAAAATGATTATCCATTACGCACTACTACATTCTTATATGTTTGTTCATCTGATATTTTTCACAAAATAAAAACGAAAGCAAACAAGTTTCCAAAAAACAAAAAATGGACCGAAACACAAACCAACGAATTTTTGTCCTTCTGCTGACAATATTTTGAGTTTAACATTTGTATAATCATTTGTGCATCTGCTTTCTATCTATCGTCCTTTTTATAGTTTTATATTGTGTTTCGTGGTTCACAAAGAAAACGCCAGTATAGTACTAAACTACGTGTAAGATAAATTTTGCAGCCATACTGGTGGATGTAATTGTCAATATTAAAGAAAAGTATTTTCCTTAGAGGTGCGTCCATGCAGGTCCGCCCACTTTTTACACCACTTTCTGTGGGCAAGATTTAAGTATGTTAGTTTTCTAGCCCTCGTCGAGTTGTGTAAAAATTGATATTTAGTTTTGATCCGAGTTATGCGCTAACAGTGACAGGACAGCCCCAAAATCCGATTTTGTCAAAAATCTCCCACCCGAATCTGACTGTTTGATTTTTTGTGAGCATTTTTTAAAACTTTTGATTTAACTATCGGGTACAACGTACAAAGTTGTCTCTTTACAATAATTTTCAAAGCCACATCTCTAGAACTCATTGTTTGGAAGCATGTTCAAATTTGGGGAAAATGGCTCTTTCCATTGAAAATGTATCCTCTTGTAAAATGTACATGAAG